ATCAAAAGAACAAACACTACAGAGCAGTCAGTACACACAGCAGAGAAAAAAATGAAAACACAATGATAGATCATGAAGCTTTTCAAATAATCTTTATTGTCCACAAAGGAAAAAGGCATTTCCTAAACAAAACTCCTGTTTAATACTTTTAGTAAAAATAATAAAACATTATATCTCTAATTTATAGAAAACTGGTATCTCTACTCTTCCTCTTCATTTCAAACCCAGGTCCTCAACCAGAGCTCTGGAGTTTCAGGGWYCTGTTCAGGATCTTAGCTGTTCCTACAACTGAGCTCTTCTAGACAGAGATCTCTGATGTTGTTCCTGGGATCTATTCAAGTCACTCCTCTAGTTTGGGGGTAACAGCACCAAGTGCTCCAGTGACCACTTGGACTATCGATGCTTTGACTCTACATAACTTTTTTTTCATCTTGGTATTCCTCCAGCTTCTCGTTCTTCTTCTTCCTGGTGTTTCAGTCACTTATGATCTCTACATCTATCACTGCTGCCTTCTTCTCCTTTGCAGACCACCATGGTTGGTTAGCATCACCTGTCAGTCTGGATCAGGATGTCCATGTATGTTAGGCGGTGACTCTCACTTTGACTGTGGAAACACCAGGAAGTGTTTCAGTCACTGGCAGCAGTAGTTTGGTGCTGTGACTCCAAAACTAGAGGAGTGACAACAGATCTCAGGAACAACGTCAGAGATCTCTGTCTAGAAGAGCTCAGTTGTAGGAACAGCTAAGATCCTGAACAGGACCCTGAAACTCCAGAGCTCTGGTAGAGGACCTGAGTTTGAAATGAAGTGGAAGAGTAGAGATACAAGTTTTCTATAAATTAGATACAGTACAGACCAGAAGTTTGGACACACCTTCTCATTTAAAGAGTTTTCTTTGTTTTCATAACTATGAAAATTGTAGATTCACACCGAAGGCATCAAAACTATGAATTAACACGTGGAATTATATATTCAACATAAAAGTGTGAAACAACTGAAAACATGTTTTATATTYGAGGTTCTTCAAAGTAGCCAAAGGTTTTCCAACTGTCTTGAAGGAGTTCCCAGAGATGCTTGTTGGCCCTTTTGCCTTTGAGGTGTAGAAAATACCAYGTCTTCTGGTTGAAGTGGAACTGCTGTTGCTCAATGAAAAAGGACTCTGAAAAACAGGCTGATTGAACAGCAAGAACCTTTATTTTGCAGTTCAGGAGATACAGCCTAAAAAACCAAATTGTGGCCTCCAAGCCAAATGATTCACCAAGTAAGAAAGATGGAGAACGAAGGCAAAGAGCGGGGGCGTACAAGGCTCTTTATAGGTTTTCCACAGATGTACATAAATCTTGTCACGGTATACCTTAAGCATTCCTCTTCCAAATATGGTAATATGTGCCGAGCTCTGAAGCTGGAAAAACTAAGAGACATCCCATCTGTGCAYTCCTGAGAAGAGGCCCCTCTTTGGACACTACACCTTCACTCTGAGGTCCACCTCACCCCAAACCATCTTGATTGGGTTCAGGTCCAGTGACTGTGGAGGCCAGGTGACTTTCACACTTTTTTGTTAAGTATATAATTCTACATGTGTAAATTCATAGTTTTGATGCCTTCAGTTTGAATCTACAATTTCCATAGTTGTGAAAATAAAGAAAACTCTTTGAATGAGGTGTGTCCAAACTTTTGGTCTGTACTGTTTAATGTTTTATTATTTTTATTACAAGTATTAAACAGGTGTTTTGTTTAGGAAATGCC